TATATATATATATATATATATATATATAGGAGACTTTTTATAGATATAGATAGATAGTCACTCATCACGATATCTCTGGAACTATAAGACCTAGAGACTTGAAATTTTTGGCAGGGATATTACTTTTACCATGTAGAGGTCAGCTAAGAACGGATTTTAGGAAATTTCTCCCCCAAAGGGGTTTGCGGGGGCGTTAACAATGAAAAATTCCCATTTTTAAACTATACGGTTTTTTTGCGCCACCCTAATATACACGGAGAAAAAAAATACTTTTACTCAATTAACAATTTCTTGGTTCAAGAAACTCGCTGGCGATCAAATATTCTATTATTATTAATTATTAATTTCTGAAGAGAAGAGCATCAATATTTATCTTTGGATAATAGATAAACAAAAGAATAGCTTTATTTAAATTAAGTAAAAATTATTTCAATCAATTTAACAATTTCTTGAATTAAGAATATATATTCTTGAAAATTTTCAAGAACATAAATTCTTGTATCAAGAAAATTTTCTTAATAAAAGTATTTTTTATTTTTTCAGTGTACGACAGAATTTTTTAGGAGTAAACAAAAGCGTTCAAGTAATTTTATCAGATCTTTTAAGTTGAAGCCTTGACTTGTGAGGGTGGCCTCCGGTATCCAGAAGAAGTTTTTATTTAATTTTTTATACTTTCAGCACCTTATTTTGCTGTTAGTAATATGTTTTTCTGTTTTCAAGGAGATTTGGAAATTCGTTGGTATCCAACGTTCGGAACTTCAGGTTTATAAAGATTATGATCTTAATTAATATCTTTTCACAATTTTATTTATTTTTGGGTGATAGCCAACCTTTTATATTAAATTTTTGAAGCAGTTTTGAATAATTTGTTGATTTTACAAGTTTTTTTCCGTCATATATTCTATTAAATAATTAAAATATAAAAAATTGTTTTCCTATAAGCTATATTCGGTAATTAAACTAGTCCCTTTAAGAAAATAGTAAAAAGAGTAATTACCTCGATTATTCGTTTTTGTTCCTCTGATGTCAAAGCGGTTGATGACTTTTGAGATCCATTATTAAGTGAAGGACAAGACGAATGACAAGCGTAATCATTATATCCACCGTCTAGAGTTAAGCTTTTTACTGACCATCCAGTTTTCAATCTATAATTTAATTGATTGTGATATTATTTATTGCATACTTATTCTTTACATAATTCTTTTTTTTTTTTAGTTCAATAAATATTTAATCTCAATGCGTGCAATAATATTGAAATCCTTATCATTTTTGTATTTTATTTTAGAAGTTAATTAGTACAAAGAACATATTTTTTAAATTGAGTGTTCTACTTTTCTGTGACAACTTATTTATTATAAAAAAAATATAAAAATCTGTCTTCCGTGTAATATATGGGTCATTCTATTTCAATTCAACGACAATTTTTTAGCGAATCCTTTCGATTTTTTTTTTGATTTTTTGATATTTTTATTATAAGATGCAAAAAAAAGTGACTACAATAGTAAGTTTAATTATTTATCCTAATATGATTGAAATCAACTATTGTTTACAAGACGAAAAAAAAATAAAAATTACAAAACAAGTTGTAAGTTATTTGAATTCCATTTTCGGTAATATTTAAAAAATTTCGCTTTTTTGACGTGGTGCACGCACGAAAAAGTGTCACGTTCCGCTTGAGCCTGAGCGTGCAAGAGAGCCTGAGCGTGAGAGCGCGGAACAAGCGATAGAGAGACACTATCGGCTCAAGCGTTGACTTGTGACACATTTATCACTTTTCTTGCGTGACGTCAGAGCATCAAATTTGCAAAAACTGCAAATAATATTTGAAAATTGAAAATTAATGTTTTTAACCAGTTTTAAAAATATTTTTGTCGAATTATATCAATTTATTATTATTGATAATATTAATTATAAATAAATGAATTGATAATAATTATAAACTATACATTAATAAAATAATTAATAATAAAATAAAAAAATTAGAAAAACGGTTCACCCTAAAGGCCATCCCTGCAACTTCCCGCTCATTTTGTATTTAAACGCTTCAAACTATACACATTACGTTTTTGAGCTCTTCGATCTCAAAAATATTATTTTTGTGTCAATTTGAGCTCTTCAAGCTCAAAACTCTAATAGCAGTTTAAAGACACAATTTTTTTAATTTTCAAACGGCAATTTTCAAACTTTTGAATGAATGAACCGATTTTCACGCGGTTGGCGGCAATCGACGCAGTTTTTGAAGCTCCATGAAAAATTTTCAAGTTTAAATCGATCGAGCCATGAATTTCGAAGTTATTACAAAAAAACACTTTTTTCGATTTTTTTCGACAACGATATCTCACGAACGCATCAACCGATTCTTACGTTTTTGGTGGCGATCGATGGGGGTTTTCAAGGTTAAGAGCTGATTAGTTTTTGAGACCGATCGGTTCAGCCAATTCGGTGATATTTGAAAAAAATAAAAAAAAACAACTTTTTATTTCACTTTTTTTTCACTTTTTTTTGCATTTTCTCGAAATCTACAGGTCCGAATCGGTTCAAATCTTCAGGAAATCTAAGTTTAGTGAAGCCCTTTCAAATGACACCAGCCGCGAGGAAATCGGTCGAGTCGTTCAAAAGTTACAAGAGGTTTACACACACACACACACACACACACA